AGAAGGTTTTTCTTCTGCTGGATTGGTTGGACAGCCTCTCACACTGACATTGGCGGCACGAGGCAAATTGTGCACACAGGGCAACAGGTTGACGAAAAGGAAGAATCATTCAGTTGGGGATTCGACACCAAAGAGGGGAAAGTAGGGGCATAAAGTACCTGAAGCCTCTGACTCTGCAGTGGTTCATGCGCCTGTCCCGTGGCCTAAAGCAGTGCCACAGTGGGTGCTGTGCGCTACAGTTCCAGTGGCTCCGGAGTGCCAGGGCCTAAGATATAGGGGGCCCACGTGATGTGACAGCGTCCTGCGTTGGTACACATCCCTTGACCTTCCCCCCCTTGCTTTCCATGTGCCACCATCCCACCAACTTATCGAATGAGGACGGCGCCGTTCTGCAAGCTGTTCAGATCCAAATCATCTATTCAAGCGCAAAAACGGCATTCAACCCGGGCGGCAACACGGCCATCACATCACATGCTACTTCTCAACCCTGGCCAGGCCGTTGAGCCTCAAGGTTGCACACCAAAGGGCGTGAACGGCTAGCAGAGAAGAGAAAGCATCAAGGCAAACGCGACTTGTCACAATACGTCAACGTCACCTGCCGGCGCCGATATGTGCTGGACCGACCAATCTCGCGTGAAAGGTTGTGAATATGCCTTTCGAAAGCCTGAGTCTGTCAGTCACCAGGCCCTCAATGCGTTCCTGGCCAATTGATGGCAGTCTCGTCACATATCAGCTTTGGACCTTTTGAAATGGTCAAAGGATTCGTTTGGACGCGTCGTCAAAGCGTATCTGTCTACAGGCATGACACAGAGGGCGAGGCTCCGACAGCACAAGAACACAGAACGAACCGTGAACCCATTCCAGCATGGCAGTGGGAGAGACGTCCTCCTCACTGGTGTCACGGAAGTTGTCCTTGAAGACTCTCCAGCACTATCGTACAGAAATGCTGAAGCTGCCATTGTCAGCTGCTGCCCGTCAACAAGGCTATGGCGATATGCCTGACTTTGGCTACTGCTGCCTGATTGTTGAGCCTTATATTGCAATCGACTGAGGCTTCTCAATTCATTCACCATGATCAAACCTCCAACCTTGACAAGTGCATATCAAACTGGGAAACAATAAGTGCTCGAGGCTGAACAGGCTCATCATCAATTTAGGGACTCAACACGCTACAGGGGCCACCTAGAAGCACGGATTGAGCCTGAGCATGACTGCTGTGAACGTCTTATTTGCCTGGAATACTTCTGACAGGATAGTTGATCGATCGTTGTGCGTCTAGCACGATGCTGTCCCAAGGCTCGGTATTTGGAACAAAGTCTCCGTTTGTCCATGTCGAATATTTACAGTCCTCATCAGCCACGACTGTCCTTTCCAACGAAGAGCATTTGACAGCAGCCCAGACGAAGCCTTCACGTTTGATCAAAGTCACACACCTCCGTGGGCGTAGAGATGGTCCAGGCCCAGCCGCTACTGCACAATCTAGCAAGGCTAGCATGTGCTACCGAGTTCTCTTGACCCCTTCGCGACTGGTACTTGCATTGCATTTCGCAAATCTGCCCACCGGCGCACGCATTGTCGTCCACTCGATTTGCAGCAACTGCCTCGCCTGCCAGTCTTTTTGGATCCCCGTTCGCTCGGATGCCTTCTAGAAGCCCGGGCGCTTGCTAACTCTGGCTGAGCGGCTCTCTATTGGTCCAGGTATTTGAAAGCAATATTGCTATGCTTGCACAGTACATATCCATGTACGGTGCATTGACATTGACAGTGGACGTCTCACCCTGTGCTGTTCAGTATCTTTACTTCTCAACAGGATGACCATCAAACGACTACAAGTGCTAAGGCATCAGCGACGGCGACCACCATCATTATCGTGCAACTGTAGGGCATGCACCAAACGCATGCCTCAAATGAGTCATTCTTTGACACATTATCGCAAAATTGTCATCAGGATGCCCGAAAACGCGAGGACTTTCACTTGCAAAGTAGCCATCTGCCATCGGGAGCCATGCGTGGCAGCCCAACATGCCGCAGTCCGCAGTCCGCAACCACACCGCCAGAACCGCTCACAAGCTCGCCGCATTTCATCATCGCTGTGAGAGAGGTGTTGGAGGAAGGAAGGAGAAAGTCAAAGAACAACCAGAAAGTCAGTTCAGCCCTGCCGCTTCGTCATTTCGAGGATGTGAAGCATCTAGACCACGCTGTTTGGTACGTACAGGGAGGATCTGGCGGCTGTCATTGTAAGTCGACATCATGGGCGCCAGAACGCCTTGCATTCTTAGAGCCACGTCTGCTTAACCCCGCCATGCATGCCAAGTGCTCCTACAAGTACCTGTGTACTTGCCTGTCCTCGAGGCTTGATATCACGACCCGTCACTTCGGGCCCAGTCAGGTTATCTCGTCCAGGGGTTGTCTCTTTCGCCTGACGCGGCTCCCTCAAAACCCTTTCAACCTCCTGCTACTGGGACCAACAGGGTGACCCCTACGTCACCTATAGTTTGAGCCTCGAACATGTTCGTGGCAATGCAAAGAAGTGTGTCAAAGCTCTTGATTTTGTTTCCAACAAGTCCAAGGCTCGAGAACAGGGCTACTGCTGCAATTAACCCCTCGCATTTGCCTAAAAGAGCAGCCCTCAAAACGCATGCTCCGTTGTCTCATTACGAAGTGTGATGGTACATACATATATACTTATTGACTTACCCGCTGTGGATACATCTGTCTTCTCACTCCACTGTCTGTATCGAGACTGAGAAGCAAAATGCACGTTGCTGCATAGATTACCCCGCCGTGTCATCCGTTTACACCATGAATTCGGAATGCAGGATTTTTGTCCTTTGGCCTCGAAGTTGCTGCAAAGCTGCTGAAAGCGGCATAGACAGACACGTCTTCTTGTGTGGTTATGGACGGGTATGACTGGCTCCGATGTTACTTTGGATGTTGCCATACTAGAACTTTTGTAAGGATGCCGCTGAATTCCTCGGAAACATAGTTTGTCTTCCATGAAACGAGGGTCTTCCTGAGCCTGACCACTATGGTACTGGTTAATAGTAGTCCGCTCACTCACTATTCGACGTGATAGACGAATCACGATTCGACTGCCCGATTTGAACACCATGGGTATGCTGCGACAGGTGGTGCTCAGTACGTACTGCTTGGGCATCACGCCTTGCATGTGATCTTGCTCTGCCCCCTTCCTTTTCTTCCGCATATTCTCTTTATATTTCTTTTCGATTGTCAGATTTTGTGAGATTCATTGGTCTACACGGCGCAGCAAGAAGAAGACTTCAGATTTCTGTCTTTGATTTGTCATTGTGTGAGGACCACCAGGTTTACATCAGCAGTATATCGCCAAAATGATCATGTGCTATCGGACATTTAGACTCTCCCGGCGATTTCCCAAATACGGCCCTGAACTGGCACTACTGCGGCGCTCAGTCCAGTAGGCGCTGTTTTCCTGCCAGTGCCACTGTGCCACAACTTTTGACATCTTTGGGGCAGTATTCCGCCACGCAATGAGGCGCAGAGAGCAAAGCGTGCATACAAAGCAGGGTGTTTCAGTATTTGTAAGCGCTGTGCTGTACATATCACACCGACAACCCTATGGATATGTGTTCGCCTCGCTTCCTCTGTTCTCCATTCCATGATTCTCGACACGCTTCCATGTCAAGTGTCTGGGAAGCATCGCTCTTATTTTGGGTATTCAGCCGTATTCACGCCGTGCTACCATACGTGATCGAGTCCGCGCAAGTGGCGAAGCTGGAATTGAGGGTCAAAGACTGGCTAGAGCCACCCCCCTTTGGAAAGGTATAAGTCTTCGCATCGACATCCTAGAGTTGGTCACAGTCACGCCGAGGGCTGAGTCAGAGATGCCTTGGAAGCCGAAAGGTCTCGGGAGGTTCGGAAAAAGAAGAAGAGAAACGAGGCGACGAGGCTGGTGCACGTTTCTGAACCTCTCAAAGTGAGCGAGCGAACGGCTAGATGAATGAGCGCTGTATGTTACTGGCCAAACATACCTCTATCGTCGCGGGCTCTGAGAATATTTTCTGGTGGCTATGAGTCACATTCAGGGCAGTACATGAAGAAGGGCTTGATACTTGACGCTTGACGTAGTCGTCATGTCTTGTTCCGTGACGAAAGCCTGTGGAAGATCTCGATGGAGGCCTCTACGAATGCCTCCTCTGATTATCTATTATCTTGGACGGGCGACGTCTAGTGAGCAGTGATGTCTTTTACTCGTCTGCCTACGCCTTCATCTGCCTGATCTGAGGACAGTCACATATCCACGTGTGCAGTGGCATGCTACTAGTTGCCATTCTCGACTCTGCTCGTTTGGGATCGACGTTTAGTTGACGCGTCCTGTCCAGTCCCATTTCACGCACGTTGTTCACCGCTGTCTTGCCGCGGGGAGCGCCTGATTGTTTCCTGGTAGCGGCACTAAGAAGACGACGTAGGATAAATTTTCTACGGCCAGTGCTGATACATCACGTCGAAAAGCTGGGATGTCTCTGACGTCCAGAGGTGCTGTTAGCTTGATGGATGAAACGGAGAAGGGACCAGTTGATTCTATCGGGCTCGGCCTCGGCCGTTGAAGGGCGCGGAGTTGATCACACTGATGGATTTCTAACAAGGGCATTATATTCGTGTTTAATGTTAAAATCATTGTTTGTTTGGCAACACGTGTTGGCTGTCGTCTTCACGCATGTGGTATGCACCGTGAAAGGCTTTGGGATGAGCGTGGTGTATGCCGATTGTGTACGGCATTGGTCTTGCACTATGCCACAATTTGTCTTTTAAAGGCGAGGAAATCTCCTTGCAAATTCCGCGCTGGGTGTCTGGAAGAATAAATTCCCTGGCTATGAGAATTAAAAACATCGCGCGTCCCAAAGGCAACCGGCTGATACATAACGGTTGACACTTTCAGATGCACAAACCGCATGCCTCGAGTAATGAATCCATGGATATATTGTACCTAGCGCAATGAGTTGATCATGTGAATTCCATTAGCGGGGATAGCTCAGTTGGGAGAGCGTCAGACTGAAGTCAAGTTCAGTTCTCAAAATTTATCTGAAGGTCGTGTGTTCGATCCACACTCACCGCACTGTGTTCCGTAGATTTCATTTTTTGCACTTGGATTACTGCTCGGTGGTTAGTCTGTTCTGGCCATCACTATTCAATCATATATATATAGTATTCTTTTTGCCTGGTGCTCATAGAATATTGGGGACTAAGCTGAGGATTTTCAAGGGGGAAAGCGGCAGTCTATAGAATTATCATCTTGGTCATGACTGTTCATAACCACTTTGCAGACCTCTTTCCTTCTATCTTAAGTCAGGGTAGTGCTGATGTGAACTTTGACCGATGGCTGATGGAAAACGGGCGTTATATCTCTTACCAATAGATCTGGTGATCGGTCCATAGTTCTGGAGGTCAAAGTCACGTTTCGACAACATGTCTCTATAGACAAGTGGAACTTACACGCACAAGAGGCATTTCCAGCCACTACCTGTATTCAATGATCAAGGCTAGTGGCCCAATTTCAATTCGTTGCATCATAGTCTCTGTTGGTTCCAAGCATAGTTTCTGGCAACTTGTAAATGAGCAATACCTCGCGCTCGATGGCAAAACGATATAAGGTTACTACTCTTTTGAGTGTGTCTACATCATTCGAATGATTGCCAATAGGAAAGCGAGAAGCTTGGTTCTAGACGACATATTATTCCTCATGATCTTTCAACCAGACCTGGTTCACTCAAGGCGGACGAGGTAGTAGTATGTGTGCAATGATATCACTCACATATAACAGATTCTGGCACAAGTTCAGCCCGACACAATCGACCACCCAGTTTGGCTTCAACCTCATCAATCACAAGTGTTGTTCCCGTAAGCAAACCCGTACTGTGAGGTTTCAAAGGATTTCAAGACTGCGCCTCTCGGACTGCCTGAGGCCGATCTGGCTGCGGCGACTCAGGAGGCTCTTGAGCATGCTTGAGGATGAACGGGTAAGGGTCCCGTTTCGTAGATCGCGTTCTCTGGTCTACGTGACAAATGCAGTGTGTTGGATGACTTGGCTAATGAGTCGTAATATCACATGCTAGCGTGGGATGTGCAGTCGATGCTCATCATGTTGTTGTACATGTGACTTGGCTTTTGGAGGTCAGGGGGATTTTGACGTGGTCTTATGTGCACGATTGATTTGACTGTTGTTTAATGTGCGCAGTGGAGAGTAGCAAGGTGGTAAAGGGCTTGTTTTCTTGTCCTATTGGTGTATTGTGTCGTGGAAGTCGATTCAATGGTGTTAGTGATTTAGCGGAAGTGAGGTCGTGCAATTCATGATTACACCTATTATTGAGTGTCAACACCTATTTGATCTTAGCAGTACACGTGGTAATGAAAGAGAAGGTGAAGGAATTATCACTTTAATGAGCAATGGCCACGACCTATTGAGTAAATAATATCATTTCCAATTAATACATACTGTTTGCCTATCAACCCAAACACCTCTATATCCAACCCGATCGCCGTAGAACCCCCAAGAATCGGTGAAACCTTTCATACCTTATGCAGTGTTGTCATAAATTCCGATGCAGGATAGAATGTGTATGCAAAAGGAGAAACAAAAATTCGTTGCAAACGCCGCATTTTCTGTGTGTTGGTATCGCCCACCTCACATGTTGAGTATATTGTCAACCCTCATAGACTCGCCATGATGTGTGGCGGGCGCGTCTGGCTTTCGTCCGTAAATGACATAGGCTATGAGCACAAAGTTCAATTAGTAAACATGGACCATGGGTGGCTGTTTTGTTTTCCTGTTCTTTTCTCCAGCTCACATCCAATTGCGACATCAAAACCGATTTAAAACAAAAGGGAAAAGAAAAATGGAGGTGAAGAGTGATGTCTTACAAGGAAACGAGATTCGCATTCTTCTGTCCCGGACGTTGGCTCGCACCTCGTCCACAAACGCTGGCAGAGCATCTCGCGACAAGCCTCCAGCTAAGAGAAATTTGGTCACGCTATTCACAAACTGTAGACAATTGACGCAGGCCATATTGCCTAACGTGCTCGCGGCCGGTTCTTGTGGCCAGCCGTTGCTGCGAGTGATTGACGTGTTGTTAGTAAAACGCTCGCCACCTTTCAAATAAGAGTGTCATCGGCGAGCCCAGCACGGGCGCGAGCGCGTCTCGCCTTGCCTTGTTTGGTCTTTGCAGATCTCGGATCCAAACCATGACAAGCACAACGAGGAGGGCGGGGAAGTGCTCGATGAGCAAGAATAGAAACGGTGCTAGCAGCAGCCGGCACTTGAACGCGGGAAGCTAAAGGGCAAAGAGAGGGAAAAAGGAAGACAAGGACGGCGAGCCGCCCAAAGACAAGACTCACAGTGGCACACTGAAATGGCGCACCGTCACCTCGGTGAAACCGGCCTCGATCATCCACTGCCTGTAGTGCAAGGGAGAGCGCAGGTCTCTGCCCAGACTGGCGCCCCCGCCGACCACATACTCGAGCCACTTTCTCAGCGCAGAGCCGTTGTAGTATTCCTCTGTTTCGGCATTGTCTGCACACGCCTCATACGCCCACTCGTGGAACTCGGCCCATCCACCGGGCGCAAGATGGGCATAGACTTTGTAAATCATGTCTTTGTAGCTTCTGCAGATGTTTGTAGAAGAGACGGCGCGTCAGCTTGGATCACATTTCACTCTCTTCAAACCACCCCCCCGGACCAACCAAGAAAAAATTAAAAGATTCTCCTTGACATTAAGAAGAAAGCATATGGCTGGAGAGTAACACACCGGAAACATGATGCCATCAGCCGCCATCTGATATAGTCAAAAGGAGCGTCAAACATCCATTCGTCCTCGGCATCTTCGCGCTCAAACGAGCAGTTCATCGGCAGAGAATAGGTTGGCTGGATCAGGCTGATGTCGGTCCCTACTACCGTCGATTTTGGATATCGTTTGGCAAATTCAATGGCCCATATTCCGGTTCCGGTTCCGATATCTAGCACTCTGCTGTCGTCGCGGATAGGAGCAAAATTGAGTCTATTGTGCACCATTGTCTGCCAAACATAGTGCTGGAGGTCTGGTTAGAGAGGCAGAGTTAGCATTGGCGTGTCGTGCCTCGCTTGTCATTGTCATTGCACCTGTTTTGCGGCTTGTTGAGGATGAGGAAAGCAATGTGCTTACCGAGCCGATTCTGTTCTTCCTGTTTGATGGAATAAATCGTTTGGTCAACCACGCCGTTGCTAAGTTTACACGTTCTAGGGCTGCAGCAATATTGGACGGGATTCATACACCATCATTAGGCATCAGGTATTCTATGACGAGGTGTTTTTGTGTTAGACCTCTGGTCCCGACTATGACAATCTTGGCAAAAAGAAAAAAAGAAATAAAAAAAAAGAGTCCAAGGGCGCAAGACTCACTTCCTTGCCTATAAGCATTAAACATTCTTCCATGTTCCTGTATGGATAATGCATCTGGTATCGTGGAGCCGCTGGAGATCAACGTAAGTCCATGAAAGATAAAAAGTCTGTAATTGGGATCTTGAGGCTATTCAGACTCACGTAGGCTGTCTCTGGGCTGTGCTCTGGCCCATGTCTCCGGAACCTTCTCGTGGAGCTGTCATGGCGATCTGGGGCGAAGTCTGGTGGCCAGCAAGAGGCTTATGAGAGATAAGCATCGGAAGCCTGGGTAGTACGGACTGGCTATGGTGGTGGAAGTATTCGTGTTGTTGCTGCTGCTGCTGCTGTTGATGATGAGGGTGGTTCAAGTACGTCAGCCTGCTCTGCCCGCCTCCTGACCGCATCAAAGTCTCTGACCGCATCGTCCTTGCATGTCTAAAACAATTGGTACAATCAATATAATAATCGTCTTCTGGCCCTCATCTCCAGCCTCAAATAGGGAGAACAAGAAGGAGCGGCGAGACAAGGAGGGAAGACGGAGAGAGGTGAGGTGAGTGAGCAATAAGCAAGCAGCAGGAGGCACGCGGCGCTGTTGACCCAAAGAAGGAATAAGAAACCACAAAGCAACGTACCCAAAAAGAAGGGCCAGGGAAGCCAGCCCGGATGTAGATGAACTTGTATACCGTTTTTCGTCGAGGCTTGCGCAGTGGCTGGCCTGCCAGCGAGCACCATCTGCTCTGCTTGGCTTCTGCTATGTACAAGCTGGGCTGTGCCTCGCTTTGGTAGGCTAACGAGCCTGGCCTGGCTCACCCACGGCTGCTGCTCTGGCTCTGACTTTGGGGGGGCCTTCAGAGAAAGGGACCGAAGACCCATTTTTGAAAATCGAACCAAGTGGGATGGGCGGGCGGCGGAACACGCGCTGATTGGCAACGATATCCCACACCGGCTACCGCTCTGCTCGTCACACACTGCCAGTGCAGGGGCCCAAGATGCTGCGGAAGCCGGGCCCATGTGGTGCTTCTGGCTGCTGTGTCTTGGGGCCAGAAATCTCCGAGCTGATGCTGTCCAGCGCTGTGGGAGTGCGCAGTACGCGACATGCCCTGCGTCTTTTGTGCTGTCAGGACCTGTCAGTTCTCGATCGTGAGAGACCAAAGCCCTTTTGGAGGGATTACGAGGAGCGCACAGGGTGTGCATGATGCCGAGGCCCGTGGAAGGGCCGTTGAAGGACCGCCAGGGGGGCTTCGTGAAAAGTCCGCCAGATAGACCTGCATCCTGTCGATGCAAAAAGCCAAAGTGCGCTCGCTGCAACCGTGATATCTACAACATCATGTCAACTTGCGCGTCGTCGACACGCACTGTACCTGCAAGTCAGAGACATGCCACTTGACTAGAAGCACTCCTCATGCGCACCCGTTGCCAGCCTTCACTGCCGAGGTTTTGGAGCCCTAGAGCACGATTCGTCTCGCAACGGCCGAGGCCAGGGCCTTTAGAACCACTCGGCAGAGCCTAGAAGCCGCCATCTCACGGGCGTAAAACGTGGCGGGCCGACACCAGTGATGCGCTTGGTCTAAGCCTTTGCAAGGTTTCTACTAGAGTACATGTACGAACTGCCACGGAGCACTGTACACAGGCAGTCCATAGCGAGCAGTAGGGTCGGGCCTTAACGCCGAAAAGGACGATAGGGCCCATCCACCCGAGGATCCAAA